GAAAGAGAGAGAGAGACAGGAGTGAGAAGAAAGGGAGGAAGAGAGAGAGACTGTGTGACTGAATGTGCTGTATGTGTATGCAACTGTGTTACTGTAAATCCCATGTGTGCATGCCTGTGTGTGTGTGCGTGCTGTGGTTAATTAACTGCTTTTGTACCTTGGCTTGGGAACCTTCTCTTCAGGAAAAGGCGTCCAGGTGGAGTCTGGGGATTTCTGCTCTTTGAAACGCCCTGTGAACGTGTTGGCCACCTCCGCCATGTCATAGGCGCACACTGCAGAGCCTGGGATACTGCCACAGCACAGACAGGGAAAAAAAAAAACCCAGCAACATAAACAATCCTCTCAACTGAATATATCAAAGAAACACCTTGCCAAGTCTGGACTATCACCAGGAGACAGAAAAAAATGGGTTTACAATCCCATTTTAGAGTGGGTTAAATCCCTCGAGGATGGCTCATTTTAGCTGTTGCATGTTTATACTGGGTGATGCTGTCTGTGTGTCATGTTGTCAAGGTTTTGCAATATTAAAAAAAAGAGTCTTTTCCCTCTAGTCTTTCTCCCTCTTTTCCCATACCCCTAAAGTGAAAACGTACTCCTTAATTTCTTTTATTAGAATTGATTAATTGTTCTAAAACTAGCAGCAATTATTCTTTTTCTGTATTTATTACATTGTCAGTGCTATTATATCAGTCCATACACTATAGTTATTGCATAAAGTAGTCTATGAGTTACAGTGTCAGTGCCTGCCAAGCCTCATGAGGACACACATTCCCTCACCCTACCCGCCAAGACTGGGTTTCCCCAAAAGCCTCAAGGCATCAAAGTTCATCAAAAGTCCACTGTTGGGCAAAAAATATGGACAACAGATTATCTTTTTATTGCCATTCATTTAAGGGGAAAAACACCCATCTTGTGATAGCAACGGAGCCACTGACTTCTTTCCATCTGTGTGTGAATCAATGCATAGCAGATTGCTGAGTCACTTTTCTATTTTTCATGCATCTGCTCTCAGAATTTAGAACTGAAACTAGGAATTGTTTATTCTTTATCAGACTTTCTTTTAAAGAGAAATCTCTCTCAGCTGGCTGGATTTTCTTGCAGTTGCATCATGGGTTAAGCTCATGTAGACATCGGGGAGACAGCATACACAAGGGCAGTATTATAGAGAGCAAGGTCAGAGAGCTGTTGATTCTTGGCTTAGCTACTAAATTACAGTAATTACCCCCTGTATTGGATATGTACAGAAAGTTAGACAGTCATATGTCTGTTAATATCAGGCTGCTAACAGGACAGATAGATGGTGGGGCAGCCAGTTAGCAAGTGACTGGGCCAAGCAGCAACTCAGCCAGACATCCCAGACAGACAATTAAATGACACAAAGTGTCGAGTGCTGCCTACAGTCTGAATGTGCTCCTTCTAATTTCACCCGCTGACTATGAAATGGAAAATTAATGCCAGGATCAAAACTGGCGCTTATAGAAATTTTCAGAGGCACTGCTTCATTGGGCTTTAATGTCCATTAACCATGCTCAATTGCATTGTCACAAGCAATTGTCTTATCTGCTAAAAAGCAGCCATAAAATGGAAAATTACAATATGTGCAAGCTATCAGCCAAGCTCTATGGCTTTGTGGTAATTTTCAATTTAGATAACAACTCCCCCTGCCTATGAATACAAAAGTAGTTCTGAATATGAATTGTAAAAGGGAAAATAAGATTAAACACCTTCATGTCAAAAGGGCAAAAAATTGTTTTGACAGAAGATGTAAATGTTGACCCAGAAGTCTCAGAAATTACATGTTGCCAGGAGGCACATCAGGGACACACGCTACTAACATTAACAAAGGTCAGACTGTCATGATGTTGATGAATTGAGGGCATTTATAAAAGTATTTCAAACTGAGAAAGATGATCGGGTTAATGAATGGGAAGTGCAAAACAGTTGTTGACACTCAGAGAAGGGAAAAGAAGATATCTGGATAAAATGACCTCAACAAATTCCTTCCATCTGTTGCTAACCTCAAACCTCTTGAGGTTTAATACACGTGTGTTGATTTTTCAATGCCTTATTTAGTTTCATCTTCCTTAGGGTACCTGTTGTAAGGTGTGGAGAAGGTTGCCATCACTACATCCCTCCCGTTGATGTGGATGACATCTGTCACAGCCTGCAGGATGTTGAAGTAGAAGTGGGAGTCACCAGGGATGGAGCAGTTCAGGCGAGACTTGAGAAATGAGGTCCACTGCTTCTCCAGGACACGTGGAGAGCCGCCACGGTCGTTCTTACAAACCCTGGCCACCCGAGGAAACACCACCTGACCAAGACACACACAGTTGAAAGGTTACAATTGGATGTCACGTATGTCACATGTCACATCTGCAGACTCAGTCTCTGGCACTGAACTGTTTAGCAGTCCGACAAAGAAGCCCAGCGAGTCCACTGATTCAGAATTGCACTCCTATGACATTGTTGGAGTCACAATGGACAGTTTTACAAAAAGGATCAAATGCAGCAAAATCTGAGATATCGTCTTTTGTATTCCATTCATTCTTCTTCCTTGTCAAAACCCACAATGCAGCCCAGCAGCCGGCAGTTTGGAGATTTGGGTGTGTTGCGCTAGTAGCAGCTATTGTTGCTAGCCTCAAGCAGAGATGAAGAGTGGGAAACAGAGGTCTGGTAAACTCACTTCACACTCACATTTTTTCATCTTTAAACTCAACTGACGGTGACTAAAGCGACCACCACCTGAGGCACTTTATCATATTTCAAGTAGCTCCCTCTGGAACAATTTTTTTCACTTATACAGTAGTCCTCCCCAGGACTCATTAACAAACTTAGATGTGTAAAATTGGAAGTTTCCCTTCAAGGCTAGAAGCTTGTTTAACAAAAGTAATTAACACTTGGGTGATCTTACGACAGAGCATTCACTTTTTTCAATACTTTTTCCACCTTTTTGATATGTAATAATTTTCTTTTTTGCATCTAAAGAGCCTCTAATGTTTTTTTGTTATGGGTTGTAAACAACCCATAATGGACCCATAATGGACCATAATTTCCTGTATAAAGAAGTTTTCACACACACTTAACTGAATCTTTTATTTTCTACTCTGCATCTTTATGAGGGTTAAGAAACCAATCTCACCACAATTTAGCAAATGTTCTGGACCTTTTGATCTTACTGCATCACATGATCTTCATCTGTAGATTGCCTACTCGTCCATGCTGCTTAAAAGCAAAGGTTTTATGCCAGCATGAATGAGAAGTCCATTAAGTGCTCAGACTAAAATGTAAGTTTAAACATTTCCATGTCAACTGGGCAAACACTTACTTATGATAAAGATTATGTGATATGATTGAAACAGCTGCTAAATGGACCTGGTGGTGAGATTTCTTTCTCAACAGCTATTTCCAAAGTCAGAGGATAAGAAACTTTGGAATTTCATTCCTACAGAACACACTAAAGGCCCTGTTATGACCAAAATCTTTGGGAGACACCACAGTGTCTTAATCCAACGTTTCATCACTTTATAGCAAATTAAAGACACAGATGAGTTAATTGGTGTGTTTGATATGCTGTTAGAGAGTCAGCACCTGGCAACAGAAAATTTAAAGTATACAGCTTCAAATAGGAGCCGGCGCTGTAATTACAACTCTGCCGTAAGATCACACAGTCAGTATTGTAATTAGTTGTTGTCACACTATACTTAACAGCAATAAATCTAACCCTGACCTAAAATTGCAACCTAGAGTAAACAGTGTGAATGGGAGCGAACATGCATTTAAACCAGATCCCTCTACACACACACACCCACAGACAACCACACATAAACACACCCTCACCCATGCATATTACAACCAAAGAAATGCATGCACAAAAGCACAGAAAATACTCGTTCACTCATGTCGCACACACAGGCACACACATGGGCCTGAGATTATAGAGCACTGAGATTACAGAAAATGTATTACACAGAACAGGTGAGACTGTCAAGTTGAATGTGGAATTATGTCAGCTTTACATATATCAGTTCAGTTTCTCACATTTCTCTTCGCTAAAGATAGCTGAACTCTGGCTTATCTGTGTGTTACCTGGGCACAGCCACTACACACACACACACACACACAAACGAGTACAAATACACAGATCACTCACACCGAACAAATACCTCACTCAAGACTTGTTAATTCGTAAAATATTTATCCTGTTGTGTTTTCCAGATAACACCATAACAATCCACACTAAAGCAAACACCAACCTGCTACTGTAGATTTATCAATTTGCTATAAAGCACAAACGACTGCTTACATTGTCAGGGGAGGCCAATCTACTTTATAATAACGAAGAGATATAATTTACTAAATGTTAAATTGCGCTCTGCACCATCAGTTCTACCACCACATGCATAATTATACTGACACTGCTTTCAAAACACCCAGCAGATTGAGAGGCCTGATCTGTATTCATGCTCTGGATAACACATGCCTGTCACTTCTGGCAGCGAATCCATTATGTCTGTGTTTCTCGTTACCTCCGCTCTGTTCTCATCTCGTCCCCTCTCTTTCACGCTCTCTCTTGTGTGTTTCCTTTCATTTATTCTGAAAAATACATACTGAACGATTCATTTCCATAATGTATTTTCTCCTACCTGGTATCCAATTAAACTTTCTGAGGGCAGGGTCCAAAACTGAATTGAGAAGATTAATAGAAAAATATCTGTTACTGTCCCTCTGGTGTAAAACCTGAGGAAAGCCTGTTTCTTCTTCAACCTTTCCTCTTCCACTCCGTCTCATTTCTCAGAGACACTTGGGTGGAATTCCTCTTGGGAAACATTGAGACGATAGGTCAAACGGGAGTACTGCCGGGCGGATGCGGACATGCAATGCAAGCAGTATATTTAGACTTCAAAATGGGATCTCCAGACATCCACAGAATTTGCTTTTTGGTTCTATTTTAGGTCCTGCATCCTGCCCAGTGTTTATCTGTTACTGAAAAATGTTTGGCCACTTTACAGCTCCTGAAAGCCTCCTTCCAGTTATGTGATACACCCATATCCTGTTAGTTTCCTGAGGCACTTCCTGATTCTCCTTGTAAATAGGAAGTCACCTCTGATTAGAGTTCAAACAATAGCAGGGAGCCTGTGCTTACCTTTCCCATTGTGTTGTACTCCATAGCAATTTCCCGAAAGAAGAAGTAGATGAAGTCCCCATAATCGACTGCCTGGACAAAGTAGGGCTCTGCGGGAGGAAAAAAAATGAAATAAAAAATGAGTCAAAGTGACGTTTCGCTGTGACAAAACCCTTCTGACTCAATATTTCACAGTAAACAGCCGGAATATCTGTCATATTATGCAGAAAAGCACCAACTGTGAGCCTTGAGTGCCTCAATCTATCATCCATCATATCAGCTAAACAATTTGCATGCAAGGAAAGAGGGATCTCTCTATTGAGTTTTGACAGGCTGGACTTGTGCTTGTTTCTCCCTGGGGCAGAGCAATTTCCTGGCTACATCAACTCTACCAGGGCAGGTTGGCAAAATGTACTGCATCAAACAGAGCGTGTGGCATTAGCATAAGTGCTCCTGCACTTTATACCTGGATTCATTCACAGAGGCACAAAGGACACACATACACACAAATCATAAATCACACAAACATATGGTCAGGCATGCATGTCGAAACTCGAGTTTGTTTTCTAACTTGTCAATAAGCTAGGTGCTTTCCAACCACATAGAACTTGTTTGTGTCTCCCACTCACCTTTCAGCCATTTGGAGTCGTGTTTGACAGTGCGCAGAGTCGGGCTGTCTCCTAGGCTACGATAGATGACCGCATCGATCGCAAGAAAGTCTGTTACGGTGGCCGAGTACAGCTTGCCATCTGGAATGGGAATACAGAGACAAAAAGAGCAATAAGAAGGAAAGATGGAGATGGCATGTGAAGAAGAATGGAAAGACAAAGCCAGAAAGAGAGAGAGCCATATAGGAAAGAGGAAAAAGGTGAAGAGAGTAAGGTTCAGTCAGAAGAAAAACACATAAAGCCACTCAGAGACTCCTGCTCTCTGTGGCTGGGTACACAAACATGTTTCAGATGGCTCCGACTTGGAAAATGAATGAATCACACTAACCAAAGAGACTCTCTGATGGACAACAAACAGGCTGTACACACACTTAAACATGTTGCACATTTGTAATTGCTCACTACGGCAAACACACTTTAAAGCACAAACACTGAAGCCCTGCATTCACACACACACACACACACACACACACACACACACACACACACACACAGTCTGAGAGCCCCACAGAAAGCCACAGTTACACACACGTACGTACACACACATGCTTCACCAACACAATCCACCACCAGCATGACCTCAGCCTGCCTTGGCTATAACCACAGTGGAAACTCAAACTACATAATTGAAAGGATAGCAGTCAGAGGAACCCTCTTGATTACTCAGTGCTTCCAGCTCCTTCCAAGCAGCTCTGCTACACATTAACTGGTCGAGCAAGGCGTTTACTCTCCTCCTCGGCTTTAAACAGGCGGGGACAGCTCATCAATACTGCCATAAATCGGTTCACAGCAAATATGAATGGTGACTAAATGTCTTTAGCAGCCTGCGGCTTCGTACCATCAGAAGAATCTCACCCCGCCAATGGAAAGTTGACTCATTCTGGTCCCATCCGTTTGTGACTTATTTTTAATTTTATGCATTTTAAAAGAAAGTGATCGAGAGACAAAGTGGCCGACAGAAAAGTACAATAAAAGTCAGAGAAATATAAATCTGTTGCCACAATACTATTGATGTGTTTCCAAATGGCTCTAAAAGCAGCAAATTCCTGACTCGGAGCAAATGTGGCCTCGAGTTCGATGATTTGCTCTAGTGCATGTAACATAGATTGGCTTTCACTCTTGACATGTTGTCAGAGTATTGCCATTATAATAAACTGCAGGGCATTAAGAACAATATTAAATACAACCGCAACTAATCCCCTTGCTCAAATAGACTCAACTTTCCCATCTAGCTTAAACGTGTTCCAATGTTTAATGAGTGCAGATAGGAGAAAATTAGGATGAATGTTTTTGCCTCATGGCAGTCAATGAGCAGTAGTAGTATCACACATACTTAATCTATTTTTGCCTAACAGAAACTTGTGAAGAGTTTCTCTCACGTTAAGCCACAGGAAAGGACTTGATTAAAAATCACAGTGATGATAAACATAATTAAGTACTTGAAAACAGATGAATAAATTGTTAATTGGACACATACAGATGCATTTAATCTTACCAGCAAAGAGTGCAACATTGGCGTGCTTGGCATCATATGGGCAGCGTGCCATCCCACTTATCTCCTCTCCCAGAGCCTCCAGGGTGTCCATCTAGGGTCGCAAATGAGGTGAAAGGTCAACAGAGGGTCAAGACAATGTAGTGTTGTCAAACCAAACAATGGATTTGAAATACAACTAAGACAGACAATGTCGGCTCCCAGTTGGAGGAAAAGATCTAGAGTAGCAAAATGAGAAATGTCAAAAAAATGACAATTTGAAGGCACTACCACAAAAATACTGTGGAAAAGTGAAGAAGTATGGTGTGAGTCATAATAAAATAGCTGTGGTACCCAGCCCAGGAGTGTGTCCATCTAACTCTGACCTAAACTAATATCCCGTGGATGCCACTCTGGTGTCCTACTGAGACCTGTCAAAGCAGCCCATGTGGGAGTATCTGGGAAACTGTCATGGAGGGAGATTTTTAAAAAACTGACATTTTCCACAGCAACATGTTCCACAGTATGGGTGGATGTGGTTTGCTTCCCCCTGCCATTCTGTTATTCGTCAACTGTACTGGTGTTAAAGAAGAGTTTTAACAACCCTCAAGAGAGATCTTTAACCCGTTTACTGCAGTGCTCTCCCCTGCCCTGATTTCTACAGTCTGAGCTTTTGCTGTGAAGAGGAAATAAATGGGCAGAGGAAAAGTGGGTGAGCACACGGCCCTGAGCGGGGTATGTGAGAAATTTGTGCTAAACCACAGTAGTCTTTAAATAGTAGATCATACAGTAGTCATTATTTTATATTTTGCAGCCTCAACTTGTGTCTTGTGCTAAGAGCTTTCCCTTGGGCAAGACTTGTTCCCTGATTTGGTGAAGACATCCTTGTTTTAATTCTGTACCAGGACAATATAAAAGTTGTCTTTTCTTAGCACTGGGAGGGTAGTTTATCCAAACTTAGCTAATTTTGTCATTCAGTCACTCAGCAGTCCCAATTCCATGAGCTATTTTAAGGCATAGTCCATTGTTGAAGAAGTCTTACTGTTCTAGTTTAGGGCTGAGTGGGATGATCTCTGTGAATTGGAATTTAGACAAGATTTTCTTGTTTTGTGCCCAGTTTGGTTGCAGTGCGATTGGTAGGGGCATGGTGGAGTATCAGATGTGGGTGAAATGTCAGTATCATCCCACCATGGGTTGGGTTGTCTTCCCCAGCATGCTTTAGGACAATCTCTTACCAGAGATGCACACAAACAGGCACACACAAGACAGAAAAGAAGAAAAGCCCTACTGCGCTGGCCAGAGGCTGAGGTCAAGAAAGATTACTGAACACACTGTTTGCCTTCAGAGTTCACAATACATAGTAATTTTTCTTCTCTATCTCTGTTTCTATCTCTCTCTTACTCTACTTCCTCGCTTCCTCACTTTCTCCCTTTCTCTCGACAAAGAGAAGCGTAGCTTGCCAAGGCTGCAAACTGCTTACGCCGCCCTTTTCTGGTCTCTAAACAGGTCATTTTGTTTTCTATTCCTGTCTCGGCGGAAACGGTTATCATCTGCCCACTAAAAAGGTCACACACACTCCGGCGCAATGCTGGAAAAGCCTGCCAGAGAAATTGTTGAGGCTGATTTGGCAGAGAAAATTACAAGTGACCTTTTACAACAAACACAGAACCACCAGCAGCAGCACATTTCTCGATTTCTCATTCCTACTGTTTCTTCAGAAATTATAGGAGCATAATATACGGAAGCAGAGTGGTTAGAAGATATATATATTGTTATTAGACAGGGGAGACTGTAATTATAGATTAGGCTGAGTTAATCATAAGGGACGTGAGTAGCTGAAGGTCAGGTGCGTCCACTGAATCAGAGTGTCTGGATGTACAGAGCGACAGGGAAACTCGGTTAAGCTTGAAACGTCAGCAGCTTCTGTGTCAGCTACCTAACCCAAACACTCCCTCCTTCTCTGACACATCACAAACACACACTCGCATATCTCTCACGCCACAGCAGCTACCCCCAACCCTCCATCCCCTCGGTTGATTTCACCGAGGCAGTGACCTCTGTCTTCTGGGCTTGGCTGGCTGTCACCGATCTATTCCTGCCGTTTGAGCAGAGGAAGACACTCCCAGCTCGGCCGCAGATATACGTACAGCTCTAATCTCCTGTCAAGTTGGCATGTATGGATAAACAACAGTCGAGTGTTCACTTGCTCTTGTTAGCCTTGTCCAAAGCAATATCCAATATTTTAAAAATAGGCAATAGCAACCCATTAAACTGCCACGCTGAACCACAACATTTCTAAACATTACCATAAAGAAAATTTGATGACTAAACAGCGAGATGGATTTTTTTTTAGATTGTTTACCAGGCAACCTGTATTATGCTGTCAACTCCACTAGCTGCAAAAAATAAAGAAGTGCTTCAGCTTTGTAGAAACACAATTCAAAGTAATGGGATGGGAACAGTTGCGCTGTCACACTTCGTCAGCGCTGCCTTAACAACACACTGTTCTGTAGGGATCTACTGTAGCTTAGCAGACAAATGTACAGTAACCTTGGCTTGAGGTGCTGTGTATCTAGATGAATTAATTACTACAACAGCTCATTGGTGCTTTCCATAGGCTATATGCTAATTAATTAGACAAACACAATGTAGATCCAAAACATGCCCATCAGGAGTGTTATAATTGGTTCAGCATCAGCTTCAGTACCCGGGGTGAGGGACACGTTCTGCTTCTGCATCTCTGTTGTTTTTATGAGTCATTTATGGGCTTTATTTATCATTGCTGAGGGATTTGTGAAATCTTACTGAGGACAAATTTAGGGTAAACTGAGCCAGTGTCCCACTTATTAACTGTTAGGGTATTATTAACATTTTCCTTGTTTAACGTATATCAGAAGAAGTGCATTTTTTCAGAGGCATGTCCATATGCAAATCTAATTTCTGGGATGACAGCGATTCCAAAATAATATTAGAAGTGACCTGGTACGGATTTATGATTTTGACCAACTTGTTGGTATCATAATGGGAAACTACTGACAGATGAATCATTACAAAGGAAAAAAGGAAAATCTTTCTTTTACAGATTCTAGCATATTGATAAATTTTCAGATGGGTGTCCTGCAGTTTGCAGCTGTGTTGAGTCCCCGCACATTTCTTTGTATTCAGTCCATATTTCCACCTGCACAACCTTCACCATCTATAAAGGTCAAGAGCACAAGATCACACCTGGGCCAGAAGCGGTTGTGTAAACCAAACAAGGACACATCTCCCTGGGAGATTAATAGTCATGGCCCATTTCTCTGCAACCTGTTTCTGAGCCCTGGGAGGATGAACCCTTTCCCTGACCAGTTTTTACACCAGAGCAGGAAACTGGAGTCTTTGCAGCTGTTGAAAGAAATGTGTTATTTTAGCCTACAGAGGAAAAACCTCATTTATCTAAACCTTCAACTTCTAAAAGGATTGATCTTTTGTAACAAAAATGGTGAATAAAAAATATGACAATAATTTGGTTAATTATGTGTCCTTACTATTGTACAATTATTAATGAATTATGTTTTATGCCATTGTCTTTCTTTGTAATGACCAGTATGTCAGTCAAACAGCTCCTGGAAACGCCGTTTGTATATAAGGCATGTGTGGATGTATTTTCACCTTGTTGATTACAAAAAATCCCTCTGCGTGCATTCATCATATTTCACATACAAAGACTTGGCATAGATGAAATTTCCCAGTACATCCCAGTCCACCAGTATCAAGTCGAGGATGCATCAACTGGGACCCACTGCCTTCAGGCCTCCCCACTGATTCCCCCCGCTTCGCCCGGCAACAGGCGATGAAACCGACTCCAGCCATATATCAGCCCAGCTGGATGGGGTGTTTATTATTACAGCACAGCAAGGGAGTGACAGAGGGAGAAAGCAACAGAGGGAAAGATGGCGGAGTGGTGGGAGCAATGGAGAGGGAGAGGAATTAAGGCTGGCAGGAGAGGAGGAGAAAGGGAGGATGAATAGGAGAAGAGAGGGTAGTTGGGTGCTGTGAGGTGCCGAGGGAGAGGTCTGTGCCATGGCTGCCAAGGTGTCTGTCTGTGTTTTTTGTGTGTGTGTTTGTGTGTGTCTGTGTGTGTGTATGTGTTGACACTACCAACACAAGGTGAAGGGGCAGATAACGAGAAGAAGCTAATGAAGAGAGAAAATTGGTAGGTTTGTTAAAAAAAAAACCCAGTAAAATCAGAGGTAAAAATAAAGAGGTAACCAGGCAGGAAAGGTGTTGGAACAGAAGACAGCGTGGGGTGTTGCTGGTTTGAGCGGGAGCCCTCCCTGCCCCCTCTGTCTCCCTCCACTCCTACTCCCCCTCCACCCTTCTTCCCTCCCGCTCGCCCTTGCAGTGTTGTTGATTAATGTGGGATGAGGCTGGCCCCGAAACAGAAGCTCTTTTCAACGCTGTCACACTGGGGAGATGGAGAGGCAAACTGTGGCCAAGGTGGATTTAACCACACACACACACACACACACACACATACACACACTTTTGACCAAGCAGAGTGGACGAACCCAGCACGCCATCAAAGGCCTGGTATCTGCCCAGAGAGTCTGCCAGCCTGCCAGCGTACAGTGTGTGTGTGATTTTGTAAAATGTGTGTGTTTGCCTGTTTGCACAGTTGTCACTATTTGTGTGGGTGCATACACACTTCTGTTTCATCCCTACACATGTGCCCATGCAGGCATTTGTATGGGCATTTGCATGTTTGTGTGCAAATGATCTGTGTTAATTCTTACAACATTTTAAATGCTGTCAAAATCTGACTGTTTTAACAGCCTTGACATTGTTCTAAATTTAGACATGTAATGTTGATCCAGTTATTTCCGGTCTAAAAATGCTATTTTATTCAGCTAAAATAATTACAGTGTAGTCAGTGGAATTATTTTTTAAGGGGCAGTTGCAAGCACATTAAACTGTTTCACTAAAATATATCAGGAGTGATTGGACTGAGCAAATTTGTAACACGCAAACATCCTAAATATTTTTTTTCTACAAACATTCCTCATTCATTTTGAGTTAACATTGCCTATCATATCAAGTAATTTATGTACATTGATTTTTATGTTTGTTCACAGGCAAGCGTGCGTGTGTTTGCTTTTTACCAGGCCTCACTGTGTTTTACAACACTTCCCCTTAACTCTACCAGACTAGCAGCAATATCAGCGCAGTAGCAGCTAAAACACAAACCTTAAACCATAACCGGAGGACCTATAAAAACTAACCACGCCTGATAAATGCAGAGACATAAATTCCACTTTCCCCGCAGGAGGAGCCAGTGAATTGAAAGACGTCCACTCTGTGTGCTTAGCATGCCGAACCACAAAGGCAACGAAGCGGAGATGTCTTGTTTCTCTGGTAAACAGATCTAGTGAACCAAAGCAGGGGAGTTTTCCCCACAGGCCACCTAGATAACATCTAGTTGTGCTGTGACCATCGCATCACATCCAAACAAACCGAACAATAACATCCTTGAGGACAGAACCTCTGCTGAGTCTTTCCGTCTGCCCTCCCGTCTTTCTTACTGTCTGCCTGTCCGTCTGATTGTTCCTATATCTTTCTTTCTTTCTTGCCTGTACAATGTGTTCATACCTGATTTCTCTGGATGACAGCTCATACTGACACTTGAATAAAATTACAGATTAAGCTAAGCTATTTTTTTCCCGTATGTATTGGTCAGCCCAGCTCCTGCAGCTTGCAGAAGAATTGTCTTGTGAATGAGCTAAGATTTACTCAATGTAATGGCAATGCTGCTCACTTTTCACACTAAGGCATAAAAAAACATCCGATTTATGTCACTAGGGAAGAAAAGAATTGGGACATTTTCATCAGAATTTTGACGACAGCCCGTCTGCTTTTTATGTTTGTCTTTCTGCCTGCCTGTATGCTTTTAAATCTTTTTTTTGTGAGTATGTTTTTCTTTTCTTTTTTTGTCCATCTGCTTCCCTGTGTGCCAATCTTCCTTTCTCTTCTTATCCAATGTCTATCTTTTCTTGACACCTCTATTTTTGTCCATCAAGTCCATCTTTATGTCTACCTGCACTCTTTCTTGACATGAGGTCATAAGAATGCATCTTCACAAGGTGCTTTTGCTTTTTGAAACTATTCCAGACATGCCCGCTTGAATACGGCCAGCAAGGCGTCTGTTTACAGGAGAGGGTTGAATCAGATTTCAGCCCTACACTTTAGTGTGTATGCATGTGTGTGGGGGAGTGAGTGTGTATGCAAAAAGGAAGGTAGTTTCTAAATCGAGCGTGTCAAAGTACACCTGGAGATAAAGACACAGAAGGAGGGTCTGCTGAGTTGTGAAAGTCATCCATCTATGTCCATCCCTTCATAGCTCAACCCACCCTTAAAGTTGAAGTTGCATGTGAAAAATATCCCTGAGTGTGTGATGGAGGAAAGGAATTGTTTTAAGAATTGTACACCTCAAATATGTGTGACGAATGATTGAGCTCAAAAAGACGGAAAAGAGCACCAAATACCTGTTTATCTGTGTGTGTGTGTGTGTGTCTGAGTGTGTGTGTCCCTACCTTGTAGGTTCGACAGGAGGGGTTGAAAGCATTTGTTCCACAAACAAACAAGGTGTCGTCATTTTGCTGCAGGAGGACTTTGATGAAATTGTGACACTCGTCCTTCAGGGAGCCAGGAGAGAAAGAAAGAGAGAAAACCTACTGTGACATTTGTGCTTTTTATAATATACACTTCTACACTGAAAGCCACTTGCAGTTTTTAAGGTCCTTTCTATTGAAGTACAGCAGGTAGTACTCCACACACAAATGAGAGGGATTTGTAACAAACATCAAGCATACAATCATGATATGTAGCATTTCCTCATGGTACATTAAGTGATATTTACAGGCACTTTCAATGCACCTTCCCATGTCTTTATAGAACAATGAAATCATTATTCTTTTTGCACAGTTTGTCAGAACTTATAGTAAATCCAGAGGAAATACAATTGTGCTGCTATTTGATATGGAGATTCTCACTGATGTGCTCTATAAATTGCAATATCAGAAGGTTACATTAACTGGAGGTTATGTTTTATTGCACCTGCAGGGTCCCCTGTGTCTGTTAATGTGTATGTGAGACCGAGAAGGAAGCAGAGACTGTGAGAAATTACATCTGTTACCCCTTGTCTGCATTGTATAAAGTGTGATTCGCTAAGTGTTTTGTGAAGAAATAGGGTGACATTTCTTCTATAAATGTTGTTAGGGTGTAAGCAAAGAAGTCTGAGTGTTTTCTCTACCTTATGCTTCCCTTTCATTCTGCAAGTGTCCACATCTGCCTGTCTGGACTTCCATGTCATTTTCTGGAAAAACAAAGAGAGAAGTAAATGAGAGAAAGGGAGAGGGAGAGAAAGCAAACAAGATAAACATTCAGGAGAGGGGGAAAAAACAGAAGGCTCTATAGAGCTCAATAACCAATCTATACTTTGATCAATAATCATCATCTGAGATTGTCCATTATTGATTCCCCTAATGAGGCACCTGCTCTTAGGTGAACTTTATTCTAAGTGCTGATTGGAGATCAGTTTACCTCCTTGAACTTCTAATTCTCTCCCAGAGAGGAGGAAATACGATACTGACCCCGGTTCAGAAAAGAGTCTGTCCAAGGACAGATCCCGCCTCAGAGCTGGGAGCTCATTTCTGTGGATTGATAGGCTGTCCATCCTTCTGCACACATACACACATACACACA